ACAAAACAAAACAAAAATACCAGGAAGAATAAAGTCTCTTCAGCTCAAAAATACTTGCAGGTATAATCAGTGTACCTGTATCTTTATTACTGGCTGCTAACAAATGCTACTGAAAATGAACTTAACATTGCAGAGTGTACAGTCTAATGACACAAAGATAGAAGCAAGCAAACCCAGGTTCTGTTGGTTCATTAAAAACTAGTGCAACGGTGTTAGATTCAGGAAAACATGTTTTAAAGTGCAGTAGAAACAAAACCTAGAAAGATAAAATAAAAGCTAGGAGATCCTGAAACAAACCTAAATTTGAGTTCCTCTGAGAACTTGTGAGAAATAGCTAACTGTTGCTAAAGACTTGCTTCTTTTAAAATGTAGTGCTAAAGAATGGCCTTTACTTGAAATAGTAGTGTTAGAGTGTTGTTGTAACTGTGACAGTCCAGGAATTATATGAGAGGCAAGGATTTTTTGGGGGGTAATATCTTTATCCCCAAACATGGAGGTGGTCCAATAAAAGTTAGACAAGCTTTTGAATGCAAGGCATTCTTCTGTAGATCTTGAGAGGGAAGCAAGTACAGTGTTAAGAACAGTGGGTAGAATTGTGGAATTGGAAAGGGGAGAAATACCCAAGGGTAGCAGGCAAACAGCAGAAGAAAAGACGCTTGACTTCTAAAAGATAAAGACCTATCAAAAGGGAGGAAGGTCATTATCACCTGTAGTGTTGATAGTGAATTTCAGGAATCAAGTAGATTATGGTGTGCCATAACATTAGTATTGGCATTCAGTTTCTGGTTCCTAGTTTCCAGGTAGCTTATGATTTTTTTCCACCCCAAGTTCTCTCTTTAAAGGTTTCCGCTGAGCAAAAGGATAGTGAGTCCACAAGGGAGCGGTGGTTCTGTGAAAAATGTGCCCCTACTGATGTGCATCTATATCCTTTATATTTTTTTCTGTGAGAGTTCATTATGGTGTGTAGTGGCTGTTTAGTTTCACTCATGTAGTTATCATGAAAGCATTTGTGTAGGAGGTTACTGCAGGTTATTTGAGTAGCTGTTTCAGAGATGTGGTCTATTTGTCTACTTGAGTATCCTTGTTTCGTAGTTTCATAATTGGTAGGGTCGGAAGGGACCTGAGCAGATCATCAAGTCCAGCCCCCTGCCGTGGGAAGGAAAGAATGCTGTGGTCAAATGACCCTGGTTAGGTGTTTATCTAGCCTTTTTTTGAAGACCCCTAGGGTAGGAGCAAGCACCACTTACCTTGGAAGTTGGTTCCAGATCCTGGCCACCCTGAATGTGAAGTAGTGCCTCCTGATGTCTAGCTTGAACCTACTCTCAGTCAATTTGTGGCTGTTATTCCTAATTACTCCAGGTAGTACTAGGGGGAACAGGGACTCTCCCATTCCCCACTGGTTCCCCCTGGTAAGTTTACAAACGGCCACCAGATCCCCTCTCAGCTTTCTTGTGGAGGCTGAACAGGTTCAGGTCCCATAGCCTCTTCTCATAGGGCCTGCCCTGCTGCCCCCTGACCATGCGAGTGGCCCTCCTCTGGACCCTCTCAATGCTGCCCACATCCCTCCTGAAGTGCGGTGCCCAGAACTGGACTCAGTACTCCAACTGCAGCCTGACCAATGTCACACAGAGGGGGAGGATCGCCTCCCTGGTGCTGCTCGTGATGCATCTGTGGATGCATGACAAGGTGCGGTTAGCCTTCCTGACTGCGTCTTCACATTGGCGGCCCATGTTCATCTTGGAATCAGTAATGACTCCAAGATCCCTTTCGGTCTCTGTGCTGATGTGAAGGGGGTTCCCCAGCCTATAGGTATGCTGCTGGTTCTTTCTCTCTAGGTGCAGTACCCTGCACTTCTCAGTATTGAATCCCATTCTTTTCTCATCCACCCACCCCTGTAACCTGTCCAGATCTAGTTGTAGCTTGTCCCTCCCTTCTAGCATGCCCACCTCTCCCCACATCTTAGTGTCATCCACGATTTTGAACAAGGTGCTTATCACCCCATCGTCCAAGTCACTGATGAAGATGTGAACAGTGCAGGCCCGAGGACTGAGCCCTGAGGGACTCCACTGCCCACATCCCTCCAGGTCGAAAAAGACCCGTCCACCACCACTCTCTGGGTATGGCCCTCTAGCCAATTTGCGACCCATCTGACTGTGTAGGCATCAGTGCCACAGTCACCTAATTTTTTAATGAGAATGGAGTGAGAGACAGTGTCAAAGGCCTTCCTGAAGTCCAGAAAGACTATGTCCACTGCAACACCTGCATCCAGGGATTTTGTGACCTGATCGTAAAAGGCAACCAGGTTGGTCTGACAGGACCTGCCTCTAATGAACCCATGTTGGTTGTCCTTGAGCATAATCTCCTCCGCTGGTCCCTCG